TGATATACAATGGCGCTGTCATGAACTTCAATAAATGTTTGTCACATCAAATAGTTTGAAATAAATACTAAACTTGTACTTTCTCTTTGAATAAATAATACAGCAATTCAATCAAGCATCTTTTCCTCGTAATAAGCGATCGTTTATTCCACAAAATAATCGTAGATATCATGCCGATCATGGTTTCCTTGTACTCCCCCTTTTTACTGTCAAATTTTGCTGTACTTCTCAGTTTTAAAACAATTAATTAAATTCGTTATTGCAAAACTCTGCCAATATTTTATCACTCCAGTTGATTACAACTTATTCAAAACGCATGGGACTCGTTGGTCGTTTTTCTTGTTTGCGATAAAAAATATACTCGCTCTTTGAAATACCAATAACAAAAATTCATTTCTCTTTTTAAATATTTGATAAAATATATACTTTCTTTAAATTACGTCCTCAAAAACCCCGAGTACATGTTGAATCTTCTGGTTTCTTTCCCTGGTCGTTGATTGAATTTTTAAAAGAGAAAGATAAATCATTTCAAATTAAAACTTTAACAAATTCGAAAATAAAATAAACTTGCTCCGAAGTAGCATATTTTGTTGTAAATTTAGTTGTTTTCATTCCAGTCCTTTTTGACGATCTTATTATAATCTTTCCTATTCAAACACACTACTTAAAAACAAGTGTCAAATTACTTTTTCTAATGAAATTATCGAAAATTATCATATAGACTAAGTCGTAAATTAGTACTGAAATTATAACAAAAAAAAAACGTAAAAATAATGAATAATTTGCTAAAACTTAACCATGAACTTAAAATAAATGTGAACTGAATCTCAAAAAAATGAAAATTTAAGTCTGCTTGATAAATTTATTCATTAATAATAAACTCTATTATGCAATCGTTTGAACACTTGCCTCTTTAGAATAAGGTTCAATAAAAACAAAGCTAGACACTTTAATTTGGACAGGAACCCATTCTACCACTTCAATTTAATATTTATCGGTTTATCACGGTCCATTAAATAATCATTTAGATCCCACACAACATTTTACGAAATTCACTATTTTGGGGACGTTTGTGAAAGAGTCAATAATAATCTTTCTAAAAAAAAAACCAAATTTCTCTTTTAAAAAAAGAGAATAGCGAATAATTCAATAACAAAACCAAAACTTTTCTGCTCTCGCCTTTTACTTCAAACCTTTCATTATCTTTTCTTTGCCAAAATCCACAACAAAAAAAATTTAATTCAACACCTTAGAAAACTAATTTATTCAACTTCTTTACAAAGTTTCTCAATCAATCAAACCTGCTTGGGAAAAAAAAATATAATAATCGGTACAAAATCAATATTCTTTGTATTTTAAACTGTTATTTTTATTCTTAATATTTGCATGGTTTTTAATTAGTTCTTTCTGTAAACTATTTTCCCCCCATGTTTTTGATTATAATCCTTCCTTTACCGCTTTTACTTTTCGAAGAAATAAAATTTGCGTCCGACTTTCCTTGCAATGAAATACCCAATTTCAAGAAATTCTAATTCCATTTCTCAACACCTTTGACAGAAAATTGAATAAATGATCCCCTTTTACTAAGCTAAGGTCATGAATAATAAATACTCCTTCCCCCCAATTTTTCAAATTAAAACCATGCAATCCTGAATTACGGTTACGTTGTGATCTCCTCAACTCATTTGCATTCAGCCTAAACATTATAATTTCAATATAAACCTTTCATAACTTGTGAATTTCTTTTTTACTTTTCGAGCTGATTAAATATATCCTATCCTCATGTCAACAATAATTTAATCATTTAAAGATTAGAATAAATCCCATTCCTGAACAAAATCTGTGTGTTTATTTTCCCCTGGAATAAATACTTACTTAGTCTGTGCCGTCTTCTTATCTTTGGGACCGGATTTGCCAGATGCTACAATCTTGGGATCAGGGGTAGCTCCATCAACAAGCGTTTCCACCGAATCGGGTGCAACAGTAGTACCATTAGGGTTAACGCCGTCTCCTACAGTGGAAGGTCCAGGAATTGCGACATCGGAACCTTCAACGTTGCTAAGATCGGCATTGATTCCGTTCGACTGATTGATCCCGGCTGCCGTAGTAGGATGAACAACGGGGTTTAAATTAAGTGACCCCTCGACATTCATTCCTGTGTTGGTTTCAGTTCCATCCTCATTTACAACTTGCTCCAACGCAGGAATATCATTCTCAGTGGCAACGAGAGTAGATCCGGTATCTTCGACGGTGTTCTCGTTAGACATAACTGCTGTAGGTACAATGTCTACCTCCTTCTTGGTAGGTTTCTCAATGGCAACGACAGAAGATCTGATATCTTTAAAGGTTTTCTCGATGGATACAGTTGTTGTAGATACAATGTCTACCTCCTTCTTTGGAGGTTTCGCATCATTAGGTTCCACGGAGCTTTTCTTATTAACGATATCTTCTTTCTTCTTACTGTTATCCCCTGCTCCTTCGACATGACTAAACGGGCAGACGTTGTTGGACTCCATAGCGTCGTTTATCTCTGGAACAGCTTTAGACACTGTCCCCTGCTCCAAATCCTTTAATAGTTTAGTTAAATTCCTTTTCAGCACAGCCTCTTGATCCTCCACCTCCTACAAATATAAAAATTATTTTGATTCAAACCCATGTTGCTTATACACGCTCTGTTTTTTGATTATAGAAAAAAACCATGTTTCTTTTTTCGTTGTCTCCCTAGAAGTTAAATATTTTAGCTTACATCAACCTTTAATCAACACGATAATTATTTCATTGAGATTTTATTTCTCTTCACCCAAAGAAAAGTTTACCCCGATTCTGCAAAAGGAGTTTTTTCGAAAATCAGTAAAGTATTGATCAAAAACTGATTTTACTCATACAAAAAAAATAATAAACCTTTCTGCCCAAACTAAACTCTTGTAGTTTGTTAGCATGCTTGTACGTTTTGCCGTTTTGCTTTTAAATTTGACAGTCAGGTTGACATAATTCGCCAACTTTCCTAATACGCCTAAAAAACTTTCAAATTTCCATGAATCAAGCCAATAAAGATAGGAACAACCAGAGTTAGTCAACCCACTTACCTCTTCTCTATCCTCACTATCTGTACAGCATCGCGCGATCAAGCTAGGAAACTCCCTCATCATGGCATACATTTTTTAATATCTCAGGCAATATATATATAACTTCATTGTGTCTATTTATTTGTTATTTATCTGACTAAATTAAATAAATGACGACGGCTGAACCAATCGAACACAAACTTTGGGTGGGACAGCACATAACCACAGTATAACCTCACTTACCGTTTACTCTGCCAAATACACAGGCTCCCCGTCAACATCACGCTACACAGGAAAGTCAGCAGGATGCTTTCCACAACAACCAAAATACAACTCTCCGTCGGGCAAGCGGGACAACCACTATCTTCGAAGAAACTACTCAATGCTCCAGGCAACGGGGGAGGAGATCGCATCTGCAAAATTAAAGTTAGTATTAAATTATACAATTATTTCTTTTTCCCTCCTTTCCTCCAAAAAATTTGAATTAAAGAAAAATAAATTCACATTGCATTTTCCCGTGACTAAAACCTTTTATGCGTACAATATTTAACCCCCCCCCCTCTTATCTGTTTCATTCATGACCAAATTCATATTAATTTACCATTATTTAAATTTACAATTCAATAGAAAACATCTATGCTTTACATAATTTTTCAAGTTTCACCAATGTACATTCTTTATAACATCCGTATTTTATTCATATATTTAACAACTTGTTAAAAATCGTCACTCTACCGCCCGATATTTTACAATGCACAAAAACCGCTTAAAATAAACTAGAAATTTTACTTTCCACTTAAAGATTTTTCATATTCCCCATTTCTATAAAATTACTTTGTCCTTTATTACTTTGTGTAAGTCCTTTATTTTTTTTCTTGAATTTAATTACCTTGGGTATCGTTCGATGAGAAGTCTACAGGAGGCAGGTCTGACTAGTACTGGTCGCTCAACCGGAAATGGGATCAGATTCCTCTCCTCTAGCCGGCTGGATGCTAACAGCAGGTATCACACTACTAAACTCTACCACATGCTTCTACTTAT